TCGACTTCCCCGACTGGTGTGAGGCCCACTACGACTCGCAGACCTGCCAGATCTCGGTGGTGCAGAAGGCCAACCCCAGCCTGCCCTGCGTGAAGAGCATGGAGCATGAGTGGGGCTCGGCCGGCACCCCTGAGCCGCTGAGCAGCAAGGTGCTGGGTGCAGGGTTGAGCAGATAAGAGGCTCAGCAGTGCCCTGCACCCCCTCGGCATCTTCCTCCCTCCTCCAGCGCACACCTCCCGCATGTTCCAGACCTGCCCCATCCCGCAGAGATGTCACTGCTGCCACCTTCGAGGGAAACCACTATCCACACACTATGGTACTCAACATTTACATCCTAGCGCTGCCACGGTATGGCTTTGCTTCTGCCTTCAGTTTCCTGAACCAAATTGGGGCCCCCTCCCCGTGAGACACCCTGCACACTGTGGGAATGCAGATCCTATGGGATCTCCTCCCAGGTGGGAAGGAAACCTCCAGCTACTAAGGGCTACAGGACCAAATTAGCCTGCGTTGCGGCAGCCTGGTACTCCCGCATCCAGCCTCAAGCTAAGCAGCTCCCTCCTCCCTCCCAAACCCCTGGGGAGCATCATGGTCCTTAGTGCAGGACCCACACCCCCCAGCCAGCCCTTTCTCTGCCCCGGAGCACAAGGGGCACAACCCACCTCTGGAACCACTAACGTCCCTGCTCCCACAGCTCCCAAGGGCTGGAGGGGGTCCTCGGCACTGCATGTTGGCCCTGGGCAACATTGCAATGGAGCCAGCCCAGGGCTGGGCAGCAGAGTGAGGGCAATTCCTAGATGTCCACAGGGGAGGCCCCCATGCTGGCTGCAAGGGAGCCAGGTGCCCTGCCAGCTTTCAGGGAGCTGAAGCAATCCGTATGTGCCAAGGTGGATTCCGCCACCCTGGCAGCCTGCCCCAGCCCGTGCCATGTCTGTGTTGTGCAGAGCCTTGTGTAGATGTTTCTGTTCTTGCAATAAAGGTGTTAAACAAACAGGTGGTCTCCACAGTGTGACTGTTGTGCAGGGCGGGCTGCATCCACCACTGGGAATGGTGTAGGAATAAGGCTCTTGGGAAGCCCGAGTTTTCCACATTCAGATGTTTATTAGATTTCCACGCAAAGAGGAAAACTCTTTGGAAGGTTTGGTAGAAACAAGGAGCTGGCTGTTGAGCAGGGAAACCTCCATCCCAGCTCCTGAATGCACAGCACGCACTCACTCCAGCTCCCCAAGGATCCTGAGACCAGCAGGATGCCTTCACGCCCAGGAGCGCAGGCAGAGAACAGCCCAGGCGCTCAGTGCTTCTGTTTTGGATCACCACTACTGTGCCACCACAGCACATGGCCACATCCAGGACACCAGCGTGTGCCAGCAGGGCAGGGCTGACCTGCCAGGACCTGCCTTCTCCGCTGAGGGTAACGGGGGTGCTGGGCTGTGTGCATGAGACACCCCTGACAAGAGGGAGGACGTGTGCTGGGGCAGAAGAGTGGGCTTCCACCATGCCCAGGTGGCCAGCATGCCTCACCTGGATGCCAGATCTCTGCTTGTGAGGTCTCGCTGTAGGGGCATGGCCTTCACCCAAGGACGGTACAGGGCTTCTCTGGAAGAGCTCCCCTCTCCTTTCCCTGCGCTGAGCCTTTCCCTCTTGGAAGACCCTCATGGGGTAAAGGCACGTCAGGCCATTTCCTAGCAGGCAGATTTCTTTTTGGTGAGTGCTGGGACTCACACCTTCACCCAGGTAGGAAGGGTCAGGGCTGCAGCACAAGACACTGCAGCAAACACAGTGCTCCTCCACCCACAGGCGGGACAGACTTGCCCGGTGCCCACCTGGGTGTTGCAGACGAACCCAAGGGGACACTGGGACGCGTGCCCCGCAGCATGCCAGTGACAGTCCTGCCCGCCATTGCCATTGGTGGCACACGCTTGCAGCACTGCAGCCCCCTACCAGCTCTCCCCTCTTCAGATGGTGATGGAGTTAGTGCTGGAGAACTGAGACACATAGGATGCCAGGATGGGGTTGGTGGGAAGGACTTTGATGGGCAAGTCCCAGCTGAAAGTGTCCACTTCCATCTGCTCCACCCCAGTCCAGGTGACGGCCTCCGACTGGCTCCCACGAACCAAGCAAGTCCCCGCCGACTCCCCGGAGGTCACAAACTCAAAGTGCAGCCTCCACTTCAGGGACACTGTGGATAAGATGGGGGTCAGCAGTCAACACCACAAGGGATGGGGACAGCAGCTGTCTCAGCACTGGCTGTGCCAGCAAGGGCACACATAAATAAGCCCACTCACACAGGCCAGCTCCCTCCCACAGGACGCAGCCCTGCTGAGCAAGGACAGCACGGGGGACACCACAGTCCTCCTGCGGAGACAAGCAGGGGTGGGTCCCTTCCCTGGTGGGCACTAACCGATGTTGGTGGTGAATCCTGGGGTAGAGCTGAGCGGGATGGGCAGGCTAAAGCTGGTCTGGGCTGTGTGCAGGCAGGCCTCCTGATGGCGGGCGTGTGTGCTGAAGGAGACGGGCTGCCCTCGCCGGCGCTGGAACTCCTCCTGGATGCTCTCCTCTGTCTGCAGGCTCACTGAGAACTGCAGGGTAATGGGCAGGGTGCTCGCTCTCACAGCCTCTCATAGCCCTGGTGCAAAGCCCCAGGACCTCCATTTCCCAAACCACCTCAGAACTGGAGCCCTTTCTCACCTCACCCTCCGAGGGGACCCCAGTTGGGTCCCAGTAGGAACCCTCAGTGAAACCCCATTGCAGCCCAGCACCACCCCAATCCATTCTCCCTCTCCCCCACCTGAAACCCCTGCCTCTCCCCACACTGACCCCAAAGTCAGCACTGACCTGCAGACATGGGATGTCTCCTTCCGAGAAGTTAAAGGTCCCAATGACATCCTCTCCAATCTTATACACGGTCTTAAAGATGCAGAAGGAACCCACCTTCCCACGAGTGTTGCTGATGTTATACAGGTCTGTGGAGGAAGAAGGGGCGGGGGAAGGGTTGCAGCAGGACGAGGCTCTACTCCACACAGCGCTCTGGGTTAATCAGAGCCCAGCAGACATGACCCCACGTCTGTTGCCTGGGTGTGAAGGACAGTCCCTGGAGGCAGCATTCCCTTTGGGAAATGCCTGCAGTGTGTAAGAGCAAAGCATAGGCTGGCTGTGACACGCTGCAGAAAGGGTCTCTCTGACTGAAGTAGGAAGAGCCTGAGACCGACCAGGAGGAGCCCATGGGAAACTCTGACCCTGATGGAGTTGCTCCACAGCCCCAGTTGGAGCTTCGCATTGACAGCCACAGATTTTTGGAATGAGCCCCGAGCTGTGCTTCACGCCCAGGTTAGGACAGCAGGTTCAAGCAGGGGATATGACCTACGCAGGCTGCGTCTGGAGGTGGCCACCATGAGCAGTTCTGTCGCCAGGTCCGCCAGGCGAGAGTCTTTCTTCAAGCCCTCCTCCTCCTCCAGGAAGGGGTTTGAGGGCGCAACAGCCTCATCCTGTGGGAACTGGTAATCCTTGAGCCCTGAGGAGAAGGCGAGAGCATCAGCGGGGCAGGGTGCAGCCAGGCCCGTGTCTGCAGGGAGGGCAGTGACTGGCCTTACCGTGCAGCACGAGGACACGGAAGGGTACGCGCAGGAGCTTGATGGGGGAGTTGACACGCTGGCAGCCGATGGTCAGCTTGTACACGTACTTCACTGACTGTCCCCGGAAAGAGGGAGGGCCTTCTATGGGCAGTGTCTCACAGTACGAATCTACAGGGAGCACAGAAGAGATTGCTTTCCAAGGCCAAAAGGAATCTCCTGGAGCTGTGGCTCACAGGCTCCCTGCACCGAAGGCTAGGAGCAGCAGCAGTACCGAGCTAGGGACACTGCCTGGTGTTTTCTGCTGTCTCCTCTTTCCCACCGCAGGCCAAGCACATCCCCAGCTTCCCTGCACCAGTGCACTGCTCCTCACATCACATGCACCATCATCCAGACACCGCTTCCAGCACATACAACCACACACACAAACTCTGCCTCAAAAGAATGTGAAAGATGTAAAATCCAGGAACACAAACACAGAAGAGCTAAACTTACTCGTCACGAGTTCAACCTGAATTTGCCTCTGCACACTTCCTTCGCACGCTGCTTTGATGATGCAGTCACATGCTGTGGTTTCCTCAGGGCTCTGCCCCATGCGGCAGAGAGGTGCCGATCAAGACCTCATGCCTCTTTTGAGATGCACTTTACACAAACCCCGAACTCAGCAACAAAAATTACTTTCTTCCTGTGTTTTTCTCTGAAGTACCAAGCCTAAATGGCCAAGAAACAACTAAGAGACCTTCACAACAACCTGTGGCGTATCTCCCTTGACAGACTGATGACTTAGACCACAAAAACTCTAACTCTGAGACCTCTGAGATGCTGGGGCCCGACTTTACACCATGTTCAGCCCTCTCAAAGCCCCCTGGCCACCACACAAACTCCAATGATTCTCGACGCAGCATGAACACTTTTGCAGCTTTCCCAAACCGCATGCCGTACAATACGAAAGACACAAACAGCAAACTGTGGAAAGTCTCCACCTCTCTGGCTTGCCCGCCATAACGCAGATACACCCTGCCAGAGGAAGGGCAGCATCCTGCTGTGAAACCACAGATCCTTCCCCACATCTGGCACATTCTAAACTTCGAGGCTTAGATTAAAAGCCAGGATTACATTTTAAATATAACTTCTAGATTTAAAATAATAGGACTGGAAGGAAGAAAAAAGCCTGTGCTAGTGTGTAGTGTCCACAGGCTGTCACACCTTAAAACACAAGGCTGGCCTGCTGGACTGGGTGCAGATAAAGCTGACAACTGTCCTGACAGGGAGGAAAATCAGGTATTTCCAAGGAAGCTAGCAGACTGCTGTAACCCCCTGTGCCAGGCTTAACAAGAATGCTCACAAAGGCATTCATGCCCGGTGAGGATAATCTAAGCAGAGACCACCACCATCCGAGGAGGGTGGGCAGTCTGCTACCTGGCACAGGAATTCTGAGACTTCCAGCTTCTGTGCATAGCCCAGCAGGAAGCACATTCCTGGTGCCATGGGTGCACTCCCTACCCACCAGCTGTAGCTCCTGGCTGGGCTCCTGGCCCGTGTCCAGGCTGCTTCCATTTCCTCACCTCTGTGATCTACCAAATAATTGAAGGTATTACAAAACTGGAGAG